TGGTTATCAACAGGGTGATACTGTTAGACCAGTCACAATGTCATCACAAGCTTGCTTGAGCATTTGAGTTCAAAAATTATTCCTGCTTAGATGTGATCTGTAGAGAAACCTGTGATCTGTAGAGAAAGTCTCTGTAGAGACTTTCATATTTGGTTATCTTCTAATTATACGACAAGTCACTTCCAGGAAATCTGACTTTTGTTATCTGTTGACAGTACCAAAGAAGGATAACCTCTCTGAAGCTGCAGGCCATTTGTGTGCATGTGCTTTAAAGAGCTTAATTATCAGTATCCTGTGTTCTTCAAGCTGAAAGGTCCACACGCACATTCCCATTGAGCGCAGACCTCTGTGTTATTATCCAAAATCAGAAGATTTTCCTGCATCAGAGCCTGCCCGGTCCTCTTCCATATCAGGCACCTGAATAAACTCTGAGGCATTTCAGTCCCTTCTCAGTGAACCCCAGGCATCTCAGTGAAGTAAAATTAGTTTCAAAAAAATTTCCTGTCTGAGCTCAGAAGGAGAGAAATGAAGGTTAGAAATGAATGTACATGCAGACTACAGAATTTGAGATTACTGATAGACTCATTTTCAGGCTTCCAGAAATGATCTGTCTATAAAACAAGCCTGGAGGTGACAGACAGCAGTAAACACAACAAATACTCATTTATCTAGAAATGACTATTGGAGTCCTTGACAGAAAACAGCCAGCACGAAATCATCTGATCAAGAAACACATCAGATCCACATACCTGTGAGACAAGCAAGCAAGCACAGATCAAGTTTAAAATGTTAGGAATTGAAATATTTATCTGTGAGGTCACCTGCTGTGGCAGCAGCTCATGTAACACGGGCTCTAACAAGAGCAGGGGACTCCCCCTTGGCATCTCACAGCCAGCATGAGGAGACCTCTCTATCCTCTTGGATTTCTATGCAGGTCTGACAGCATCAGCATCAGCAACTTGATAAAAGAAGCAGCAGGTCCTATCAAGATAAGAAAAAAGAGTGAGCGAACTTTGGACTCTGTTGTGCAAGTTAGTGTCCTGAGGTTTCATTTTCTGCACAACCAGCTGCTAGGGTTGACCATCCTGAACTTGAACACACAAGTGAAAGTGAAAGTGTGAAAGGAACCCCCTGAGGTTCAACAAGGACAAGTGCAGGGTCCTGCCCCTGGGCAGGAACAACCCCAGGCACCAGCACAGATTAGGGGTCGACCTGCTGGAGAGCAGCTCCACGGAGAAGGACCTGGGAGTCCTGGTGGACACCAAGTTGCCCATGAGGCAGCAGGGCCCTCGTGGCCAAGGAGGCCAATGGGCTCCTGGCTGCATGAGGAGGATGTTGTCAGCAGGGCAGGGAGGGGATCCTGCCCCTCTGCTCAGCTCTGGGGAGGCCAAACCTGGAGCACTGGGGGCAGCTCTGGGCTCCCCAGGACAAGAGGGACGTGGAGCTTCTAGAGAGGGGCCAGCGGAGAGCGAGAAAGGTGATTAAGGGGCTGGAGCACCTGTCATATGAGGAGAGACTGAGTGAGTTGGGCCTGTTTAGCCTGGAGAAGAGAAGGTTGAGAGGGGATCTGATTAATGTGTACAGATGCCTGAGAGCAGAATGCAGGGAGGAAGGGGCCAAACTCTTCTCATTGGTGACCAGTGACAGGACAAGGGGCAATGGGTACAAGTTGAACTCCAGGCAGTTCCATCTCCACGTGAGGAAGAACTTCTTCCCTGTAAGGGTGCCCAAGCCCTGGCACAGGCTGCCCAGGGAGGCTGTGGAGTCTCCTTCTCTGGAGATCTTCCCAACCCGCCTGGATGCCGCCCTGTGCCCCGTGCTCTGGGTGTCCCTGCTGGAGCAGGGGGCTGGACTAGGTGAGCTCTAGGGGTCCCTTCCAACCTCAACCGCTTCTTAAGACCGAAACAAGGTCCTTCTCTGCAGTGGAAAAATCACTGCTCTTTCTGAGCCACAGATCCAGAGTCTAAAGCACCAGAAGCCCAGAGTTAATTTCTTCCAGGAGAAGACATATATGAGGACTGTCCTGCAAAGAGACAGGGAGAAGAGAACTATACAGGAGCCCACGATGAAAGAAGTCATTACCAAAGGTAAGATATTGTCCTTATTCTGGATTACCCTCCACTGGTCACCAAACAGAAGATCTTCCAGTAGGCAATCAGGTATCCTTCTCAGACCCAAATCCTGATGGATTTCATCTACAGACAAGAGCTAAACCCAGAGACCTTGACGCTTTAACAGCTGCATGCATTATAGTAAGTCTGGAAGGAAAGGAGGAGATAGTTTAATTTGCTTGAGTTATAAGAAAGTCCCCTCCGGATTCTGCAGAAAAAGACTTATCTCATGATCATCCTCACCCCACCACTGAGATAAAAGGCTCTAGCAACAGACCATAAGGGCAAGCAGGAATGGACAGGGCAATAACTTCTTACGAGTGTCCAGAAATGTGTTATCCCAGTGTTCACAGGCTGCCTCCCCCATACAAGTACAGCTCCAGGAGGATCATTAGTCCCTCTCGCACTGCAGACAATAAAAGGCTGATAGTCAGTGCTAATGAATTAACACTGGCAGGATGTCAGAGAGATTTAATTATGGCTTAATATGTCTCTTCTCAAGGGATGTCCTGAAAAGCTTTTCCTGAGTAACTAATATAAGTGTTTACTTTGATTTCATACGATTACTTAACATGACTTTGCAAAATGTTTTAGTCATGGACACAGTTCTTTTCCTGCACACTTGCAAACTCCTTCTGTTATCTGTACAACACTATAATGGAACAGCAAATGCTGTGGTTCCTTCTAAAGGAGATTTCTATTAAAAACATATTATTTCACCTGGAAGCACACAGAAAAAGCTCTGCAATCACAATTACTATAACCATAATGTGTGTTTTGATTCATGTATCTACCTGCTGTTTTTCTGTGTATTTCTAAATCATTATCATGGCTGAAGTATTGCAAATAACCTGCTGCACTTAAAACAGCAGGTTTCACCTGCTGTTTCTTCAGCATGCCTGAATTTGCAGTCACAGCCGACTCTAAGTATTATTTGACTTGCTTTGCAGACCAAATTTCTGTTGTTAAAATGAGGGAATAGCTCAAAACACCCCTTTCCATTCTACCAACGTCACCTAGTGAGAGTGTACTGTGCTGGGAAACAGCAAGGTCCATGTACTAAAACATAAAACAGTGTCAGGAAAAGTTACAACCTGGTTCCAAAGAAGCACCCGAACACCTTCCTAATTTTCCTCCTAAACTTTCCTCCTTCCGACGTTCACACTGGATTTGCTTTGTGGTGTTTCAGATGCAAGAGAACTGCTTCAAAATTCATAGTAGGTACCTGCACTCTGAACACTACGCAGGGATGAAGGCAAATGAAAACTAACAAGAGGTAAGATTTCATGGAAATCTCCGTTGTGGTAACATGCTGCATCATTATGTGTGTTGCTCCCCAAAATGTAGGCCAGGTTTCACACAGAGCTCTGCTCTAGGACACTGGAAATTGCACCTAGATAAGGAATCTAGCGCTTCACAGAGATGCAAGCGGGGGAAAAAAATAAAAAGAAAGTAAACACTATGTACAAGTCAGATGCCCTATTAGGGGAAAAGGGAAACCAGAACAAAAGGGAAGCTGGATCAATAGGAGGAAGTCTGTAGAACAAGCACTTCTCTTACTGAAAGCAGTTCTAATGCGCTGCCTGCAGCAACAGCAGACCGTATGAAAACAGAACTCTCAGTCCAGATCTCAAGGCTGGGGCATTTTTGCCAACTTTAGCACCTCTTACTTCCTCGAATTGTTTGCTTTATAAAATAGGTTTCATTAAAGTGCAGCTATGGGTATTTAAGCAGAATTTAGCTGTCTCATGAGCCACTGGGCACCCAGCTCTTCTTTTGCAGCTCCCCACCGCTCTACCTCAAATGTGTTCACAGAGCTGCTGCTCCGTGCAGATAGAGGCTGTGAACAGCAAAGGCAGGAAGAGACACTGTCCTTATTGAGAGCCTATTGTATGAACAAATTCCATTTAAAGAAAAAAAAGAACTTTTAACAAATACTTAGGAAAAGCATAGAGTTGTTTGTGGGACATGAAGAGCCAGAACCCTCTGTGAGAATTGCAAACATCATTTTCAGTGGAAAAAAAAAAAAGCCACTTTTCAGTGTGCCTTGCTGACTAATCCCTGCTTTGGCCAAGTTACTTTTCTGGAGGTTCACTAAGCCTGAAGGATGGGCCAAGCACATTCAGCAGCCTTCGTGCAGGGCGGTGAGAGACGGGAAGACGTGGCCAGTGGTGAGGGGAGCAGAGCTGAGGAGTTACCAGCAAGATGCCCTGTGTAGCTTCAGCAGGACCAAGCTTCTCCACAAGCAGCTCCTTGCATCCAGAAGGAAGGAATCCTTTGCCCCATCCCTTGAGTATTTCCTGCTCAGACACTTTTCATCCTCTTCCATTCACCCGGCATTGGGGTGAGTTGCTGTCTGGAGAGAAAAATCTGCAGAAGACACAAAATAGGGTCAGTGTGCACTGAAATACGGGAATCATGTGGAGGGCGGCATAAGCTACGAGCCCAATCTGCTTTTTAAGCTGAACGGGATCCTGTAAGGCAACCAGCACCAAAACTGGTACAAAGTAAAAGGGGAAAATGGGAGTGGGTGGCCAGTTGCAGGAGAGAGATGCCAGGACCAACCCATCCCCATTTGTGTGGGGGAGACGTGGTTTGGGGTTTGCACAGAAAACAAGCTGTTGCATGATCAAACATGCCCAAAAGAGTGGAACAGTTCTTTCAACTCCTCTCTCTTTTGCTTTTTGAGTCTGAGCATTTGCAAGTTTATTTAAGCACATAAGCACATCAGCAAGACTCAGGAACACTGATTTGCATATCTTTATGCTTTGTATTTCCAGAGGCAAAGCAAAACTAAAATAACAAAAAACAGCATCTGAACCACAAAATGTTTTATAAAAAGATATAAAGTGTCAAGCCAGCTTTGTCAAAGTCCTGGGGAAAGAGCAGTTAAAAGTCTAACACACCATTTGCTTTTTTATTTTTAACCAGGAATAATAAATGTACACAAAAGGATCGAACAGGATTCTTATTCAATCTTAAGCATATGAAGGGGTAGTGAGGCCAGATACACAGGAGGAATGAGGTCAGAAGTATCAAGACTTGTTCTAAACATTTCAGAATGTCAGGCTGAACAGATTCAGCAAACCTTTTAAACCCATCATGAATACGGCTTGATTAATATCAGAGCAAGAATTCACACTACACCTGGCCCACATGACCTAGGCTAAGAAAAAGCCTTTTTTTCTCTCATGTCTAACTCATCTGTGAGTTTCATCTGTGAAATCTATAAGAGGTTCAATGCAAGGGCCTTCTATTTGATTCTGGATGAGTTCATTGAGACAACAGAGTTGTCTTCCAGATTCACTAGGCGGTAACTGCAAACTGTAGCACGACTTCGTAATGCCAGATTTATTTTCAGAAAAGACTCTTAATAAGACTGTAGGGGAGGCAGTAGCATTTGAGATATTAAAAACCAGCCTAGCACCAAGCAACTTCCAAAGTCTAATCCTGTGTCTGCCTTTGGTGGATGCCTTTTGGGAAAATAAACAAAGCAAAACCAACAAAAGAAAAAAAAGATCACAGTATACTGCAATGAAAGTTGCAAATGCTCAGCACCCTGGGGAAGGAAGAAAAAAAAAAAACAAAAAGAAAAAAAGACCTTAAAACTTCCTGACACCATGCACATGTTCGGGATGCGAGTTAAGATCAACAGTTTTAAGGATGAAGACTACATGCAACCCATTACAGTGCTTATAGGAGCAAATTAACCAGGGGCTAACTTTACTCACAAAAGGGCTAGTGTGGCCTCCTCTGGCACATAGGGGACTGCAGATGACTACTGAAGTATTTTTGAAAGGCACACACTCATTTCCTGGTCCTGATCAGGTAATATACACCATCAGTGCAGCACTGTGCATCAGCAGTGCCCTCCCAGCAAAGCCCCTTCTATGGCTCCAGTTAACTCTGTTAATGAATTCTCCCTTCTTCCTCACAACACACACACATCAGTAAAGGTTATTGCAAAGCAACAGGCTCATTTACATACATCACCAAAGGAATCCAGGAATTAGAGCTCATGCAGTGTTTTGAAGGCATAACAAAACAAGGTTGGAAGCTTTCCCAGGATGAAATATGTATCTTATTATTCCCTATATAAAGGTTGCACTTTATATCTTCTTAACTGGCCTAGCTCTGCTTCTTCTGCAAACAATGAAAATTATTCCTTAGGGTTCAAAAAAGCCAATGCTAGCTGCCTTGACAAAGCTTTGCCCTTAAGTGTACCGCAACATGGATTGATTAATTCCCAGCCATATTCAATTCCCTGTCTCCCTGTAAGCACGCGACAGCCACTGCGAAAAAACTGTACACATTTTAAATGTATTTAACCCTGCATCCTTTTCTTCTGTAAAGCAATCAGATTTCATAAACTAAATGCATTCTAATTCAGAGATGCTTGCATTTTCAATATAATAAAAAAGCATCAAACTGAAACAATAATGAATAAAAATAAAATGTGATCTTGTTTGTTTGACACCTTCTTTATTCATTTAGAATTATTGGAAGCCTTACACGCGGAATTAGAGAGCATTTAGTTTTTATATGAAACTTCTTGGCCTAGCAAAGTGAAGGCAGATGTTTATGATATTTAGGCAGGTACTTCCACAACTTCAAAATAGTCATTGGGCAGAATAACATAGCCCTTGCCTGCCAATATGTCTTTTTCTTTCTGAAACTGAACAATTTCTCGCAGTTTTTCTATTTGTCTTTCCTGGCGCCGGCACCGCTGTTGCGCTGTCTTGAGCTTCTTCCGCAGTTTTTCAACTTGTTCCTCCAGTTGCTGAATTCTTTTTCGCTGATGAACTGTATCCTCTACGGTATAGTTGTGATCACAAAAAACAGCAAGATTGCTGGGGGTCTGCAGAGGAGGCATCAATAATCCAATACTCGGATCCACAAATCTTGCATCTATTTGAGATAAATGAAAGGAAGGAGTTGATGGAGATGGCGGCAGTACAGGAGTTGCTGCTGGTGGTGGAGGTGGTGGTGGTGGCGGCGGTGGTGGTGGAGGTGGTGGTAGTGGATCTTCTGGTTGCTCTGCGAACTCTTCAGGCTATCACAACAAAATAAAAGTATACATTCATGTTGATGATGCTCACAAAACAACTCCAGTTATACAGCCCTCCCAGTTATACTGCCCTCCTATAATGTACATGACCAGGACTGAAAGTAGTAAAACAGACTTCAAAGCCTACTTTATCAAAACTAACAAACAGTTCTCGCCTGGCTAATTCCAGACTGACTTTATTCTGAAGGAGCTTCATTTTCGAGGCTCCCTGAGATTTGTGTCCCTGATGTCTTGAACAAAGCAGAAACTGAAGAACTCAGAAGTCTTACAATTTCACTTTTGAAGACTTTGGACAACCATATCCACATTTGGCTGAAAAGCGAGAACACAGGCTGCAGTCATGCAAGATGAGAGTTAGCTGACCTAACAACTAATCATGGCCATCCCGTCCCCTTTCGTCCCTCTATTTTGCTGCTACTTACCACAACGTATTTGAATGTGTCTATCAATTTAACACAAATCCAGCAGGAGTGGAAAATGTGAGGAGGAGGAATAAGAACCGTCTCACTGAGGGGGCTGATGAGCTGGTAGAAGGCAGATATAGCAAGGCCCGCTTCTTAACAAATGAAAGTGATCATCTCGCTGCTTTGAGACTGCAGTATAAGGGTTTGGCTTAACATGACTGGCTGAACCAAAATAAATAAATAAATAAATAAGCAAACAGCTCCCAATGCCAGAAATAGAAGAACTCCCAGCTCTGACATTTACTCTTTCCTGCAACATAGCGAGCTGGTAAGATAACACAAAGCTTCCCCATCACCACTGCAGAAAGCTTCTATAATTTTATTAAATTAATGCAGCTCAGGAAGAGGTGTGATAACACCTGAGTCAGTACTAGAAGGGAGTGGGAAGCAGAACTGAACAGCTTGCAGATGGGATTGAGAAAGGAGAGGTATAATTGGACAGTAGCAAAATGTTAGATGGGCTCAGCTGCATGTGAAGTTGCAGTCAGTATTATACTGCCCTTGACAGATTTGGTGCACTTGCATGGTCCAGGATGACACAGCTCTTTCACCACTTGAGTAGAGGCCACAGGAGAGAATTACATTCCTTTTGCCCAAAAAGAACACTGCTAATTCAAAAACCCTTCTGTTTTCATGATGATTAAAAGAAATAATAACAAMAATTAAAAGCACTCTTCTTACTTGCTAAAAGAAAGCCTAAGAAATTATCGGTGAAAAAGGTACTGAAAGCAACTTTCCAACTACCTGTCTCTAGTCTTATTACTACCCATGTAAGCGTAAGGGCATCCGCAATACGCCTTGCAGAATACGAGCATTTCCCACCCTCTGAAGTATTAAGTTCATAAGATGTGAAGCTCCTGTCAGATGCTGAGGTATCCCTCAGCCTATCAGAGGTACTACACAGACAACCCCACACTTGGTTTGGAGAGCCGGGCTATCGCTCTTGTACAAACTGCAACACCTGACAGACAGTAACTGCAGAGGTAGCTGGCAGCGCACAGGGAGGTTCATACACGGGCAAGTACTACCCATCACTTTCTAGTATAAACCAGCCATCTATCAGCCTTAGTAACCTCTCAGCTATGAGAAGTCTGTGCTCATACTGTGTCTATCTAATTCACACGTAAAGCTTCTGAAAAATCTGACTATATCAACTACCACTCTTAAATCACTCTGCCAGGAAAACTACAAGGCAAAATCATGATCTGCAAGGAGAAATTCATTCTATTTCCAGCTTAGAGAGCATGTGAGAACTTTATAGGGATCTTATTAACTCAGTAGGTAAGGCAGAGCAGATTGCTCGTTTCACTCATGAATTCTACTTCTTACGGACATTAAAAGATTCTCTGTATAAATTGCATTACTATGAAAAAAGCAAGAAGTAATTCAAGTTATACAGTGCAAAAGATATAAAGTTGAAAAGAATTTCAAAATTAGTCTGAATTCAGTTGCAGAAGCCCAGTCATTGCTGCTGATTTAAGGTAGGTGGAATTTCATTAAGATAGGCTGTGAGAGTAGTAAAAAGTAGCATTAAATCCTCAGCTACAATTAAGAGGTGCCCTTTTGTGCATTTGTAGATGAAAAATGAAATGCAGGAACGTGCCTTAGTACTCATTCTGATGCACCTATACACTTTCTGCAGAGAACCTCACACACCAATCCAGCTTTTATACCATTAAGAACTTGGTGATCAGTTTCATAAGCAACCAAGAAAGTGTGTAGTAGAGGCATCAGATAAGTGTAATTAAACAAACAACCAAAAAAAAACCCCCAAAAGACTGTATTTACTGGATATTGTCGGTTCCTCCTTATGAGTCTTGTGCTTATATTTGCTCATCTATTATTAACTGATCTTTATTTTTTTGATAGTTCCTTTTTCATTTCTCCATCTCTTCAATACAAAACAAAATAAAATACTGCTTTCCTCCGTGCACTTCAACCTGCTACATTCTGCCGTTCCCCAGATCTATGCACTTTCTGCGTCACAAGGAGTGGGAAGAGACCATCCACAAGATACCCTTTTACAGAAATCAAGAATCAATCTTCTTAACTCTTCCCTTGCAGCTATTAGGTCAAGAAGAACGAGCTATTAATCCATTCTCCTCTCATTTAGCAGCACAGTGAGGAAAGCAACACATCTGGGGGAATCGTAAGATGTACAGGGACAATAAGAGACTAGTGTGTCCTACAAAGACAATGCAATTCTTAAGACAGAGAAAGTTTCAGCTCACACAGACAAGCACGTGTGGCTACCATGTTGCCCCTGTGTTTACCTGTCATTCCACCTCTGCTAAACCAGTGGTCAGAGTGCTTTACAAAGGATAGATAAATCCCAGAGTTAAGTTATGTCAAGTTTTTAATGATAGCAATAGCCACCAGCCAGCCTAAGAGAATGAAAGGCAGTTTGCAAATGATATTATTGAAGGTTTCATAATACTCTGGACATACCAGAAATACAGCAGAACAACTTAATTATATGACAACAACCTCTTACTTTGTGGCTGTGATGGTTCAGCATAAAGTTTTGGTCAAAATTACGCTGCTGCGATTTAGCTTTTGTGCATACACACACAAGGGCAGGTCAGAGCGTGCTCCAGGGCCACTGCTCTTCCCACAGCACTAGGAACAGCTCCTGAGCTCGTTCAGCTTCCCCAGGTTTCTCCTGCAGGTGCTCCCGAGCGCTCACACTCTGCAGGCAGCATTTACATCCTGCCCCTGCTTCCGACTGCTCCTTTACACCGAACCCTGCAGCACAAACACGAGCAAGAGACTCATGCCTTTGTGCTCCTGTTACAAGGAGCACCTCAGTTTTACCTTTTCACTGGGCTCAGTGTAACAAAATATGGTGGGGACAGCATTCTCCTTGAGAAGCTTGTTGTTGCACTCTCTTTTAAAGCAGTCGGGAGTAAAGTGCTCCGAGCAGATGCTGCTGTACTTGGTCGGCTTGAAGTTTTTCCTCTTCACCGCCGCTTCCCACTTCTTGCAGAGGTCGGGTCTGGTGAGAGGAAACCTGCAGGCGCCAAGTTGCCGTCAGCTCGCCCGGCGCTGGGATGGCGCCGCCGCCCGCTCCCGACAGCCGGCACACACGTCCCCGCACGGCACCCGCTTTCGCCACGCCGCCGGGGCGCCAGGCGCGCGGGCGGCCGTTGGCGGCCGTTGGCGGCCGTTGGCGGCCCCGCCCCCCGCGGCGCGCGCCCCGCCCCGCCGCGCCGCGCCGCGCGCTCACTTGTGGAAGGAGATGGGCTTCTCTTTGTCGTATCGGTTCCGGCAGCGGTAGGCGGAACACGACTGCACCATCCTTCCTTCCTTCCTTCCCTCCTTCCTTCCTTCCTTTCTTCCTTCCGCCGCCGCCGCGGGCCCCGCCGCGGGGAGCTCGCAGGCGCCCCCACCTCACGGGCGGGCGCCCATGCTGCCTGCCCCCCCCGCCCCCACCCCCCGCCGGCGACCCTCGCGGAGGCACGGGAACGGGACGCGGCCTCTCCCAACTCCAAGATGGCGGCGCCAGCTTCAGCGCAACTCTCGCGGTGACGGCGAGCCGCCGGCGCCCATTGGCCGGGCTCGGCGGCGGGGCGGAGCCGCGGTGACGCGATGGCCAATCGGGAGGCTCGGGGGGGCCGCGGCCCGCCCCTTCCTCCACCCACACCGCGGCGGCCCGCACATCTGGGCAGCTGCGGCGGGGCGGGGGGAGGGCAGAGCCGGGCCGGCGCAAGGGGCTTCTTGCCCCGAACCGCAACAAGAGCGACCGAACAGCAAAACAAACAGCCCGCAAATAAGTGAAATGAAATAAAATAAGCCTTTGTGAGGCCACGTTGACATAACACGTAGTTACATTAACGAGATACAGGAAAAAAGGAAAAACTCACCAAAAGTTTATGAGCAAGCTATTAGAAAATAAGTATATCACCACGCCATTAAAAGTCAAGTGTGTTTATTCGAGGGGGCTCCTGTATTTCTCCACCTTGAGCTGTCAGGTGGCAGAGGCCTGTCTCTAGTGACATCTGGTGCAGGATCTACGTATTTTAAAGCTAAACGTGGAAAACGGGGCGGCTATAAGTGCCCTGCAGGACGGGATCGGCCGCCGCAGGTGTTTATGGCACACTCTGCGCAGGCTGGTTGCTCTTCCCAAAGCGCAGACTAGCAAGGGCTCAAAGCGCGCCAGGGACAATGGTCCCAGCACGGTGATGCTCTGTTTGGAGCTGCTTTTTGGTCTGCTACCAGATCCCCAAGCTTCCTGCATACTTACAAATCCCCTTTGTAGTCTGCCTGCCTCCCTCCTGTCTCCTCATGATCCTCGCTACCGTCTTGGCTGGCTCGCTCCAGCAAGACACTAACTCTATTCACAAGATCTCCGATTTAAGCATCTTCCCTGGGTTTTTCTCTTTCTATGGCCAGCAAATCTGCTGGGGAGCAGCAGAGATGGGAAAGCCCTAGCAGGGAAGACGAGAAGGGGCTGAGGAGAAGCGAGGTCCATGGCCAGGTTGGTCAGAGGCACCAATCCTGGTCTCAGCCTGGCATGGAATGGGTGAAACATGAGGGAGGAGACACCAGTGGGTCATATAGTGATGGGGAGAATGGGTGAATGTGCCCTTAGTTGATAGCTGGCATAAACGGCCATGACAAAAGAGCTCTCATCAGCTCTGCCAGGACCATGTCAGTGCCCCCCCAAAGCTGTTTGCTTCCTCTCTTTTAGTACAGTGAGCGGGAAATAGTTTCCTCATCCCACAAGAATTTCAATAGTCAGACGGTTGTCTTGGATAATGATGGACAATAATAATGACGCAAACTGAAAAATAAAATAATATTAAAAAACAGCAGAAGTTGCAGATCTCAAGAATGCTGCCAAAGACATTTCTGACATCCAAAACCAGCTTGTCCGGGTGTTTTATGGGAAAAAAAAAAAAAAGGAAAGAAAAAAAAAAGGAAAAAAAGAAAAAAGAAAAAGAAAAGCAAGGAGGGGGTTGGAGCCCGCGCCTCGCTGCGGGCCGGCTTGCCGACAGGCAGCGCCTTCCCTGCCGCCGTGCACCGGCGGTACGGGGGTCCCCGCGCGGGCCGGGCCGGG